AAGGGACTCAATACATAAGCTAGATTGAAGTTTTGTGGGTTCACTAAATTAGAAGAGAAACCCTATTTCTTATTCGTTGAAACCAGCTCAAATGTGGGTGAGTGTGAATCTTCAATTTACAAAATTGAACAAAAGCAGAATATTTTCAACATTTATTGAGTCCCAAATCCTAGGGTTTTAACAAGTAATCGGATACAAGAATCAAATCCAAAACCCAGAAATTTTCCTAAACGAAAAGGAAATGCAGTTGAAAACCCACGAAAGATATGAAATCGAAAGTGAGAGAGGATCCAACCTGTGCGATTAGGTCTTGTGAAACCACTGGGGACAAGTCTTGAATTCGGATCACAAACCACGGAATCCGCCAAAGAATCTTCACACATATCCACGGAAGTATCTCCGATCTCTAATTTCTCTGTTTCATCACTAACAAATTGGGAATTAGGAATCTCCGGTGACCAAGGAGACGCCACTTCTGGATCCAACGGAACTGTAGCGTTGATCTGAACATCCTCCATTGTTGAAATCTAAAGCGGTTTCTTGCAAGCCCAGAGAGAAAATAAAAAAAGAAGCAAATTGAGTCTTTTCTTCTTCGTTATCTCTCTTTGTAAAATCAAGAAATTGAAAAAGGATTAAAAGATGGGAGAGAGAGAGAAAGGCGTGGTGATTTCTTTTCCTTTTCTGGGTTTCGTGTTTAAATTTTGAATCTCTCTTTCTTAGACGACCGTTAAAAGATTTAGTGTACCGTTAACGATGAATATGGGCCTCGCTTTTTTATACTGGGCCACATTCCGTATTAACTTTAAACCCAAACCGAAAATATCAGACCGGTTAAATAGTACCATAAACCGGTTGTGGTATCATTTGCACCGGATTGGTGGTCAAGAAACAGTTTCAACTGCTACTGTAGAACCCAAACCGTGATAAAATTCGATTTTATACAACCGAATACCAAATTTCCGACCAGAATTACTGGATGCCTGCCTATTCATTCAGTCACTTGGTAGTTTTGATTCTGTGCTCTGTTTCTGTTTGCATACTTTTGGGTAAGTGAAATGTTGTATTCTTCTAGACACAGCTTGAAGAGCAGACCAAACAAAACAATGCACTAAATTTTTAGCAACTGATAATTTTCAAAAAACCAGACAAAAGGTTGGAGTTTGAGAATAAAGATGAGTTACCACAAAATGAAACAACCATTATAAACGTAGCTGCAAAACGCACAATAAAAGCAGGATCATCACTAGTACGTAGTATAGAATATGTTGTTTTGCGTTGGTGTTGGTTTTTATCATTGATCAGCAAGGATTGAGACAATCAACAACATCGCTGTGTGGGTTTCCTCAGGACTTCCAGAGATTAAGACCGTCACCTCGACTCCTGTAGGATCCTTCACAGCCACTTTGGCCCCTGAAATCTGTCAGTTTGCAAGAACCCACAGTAAAGTACAAATTCATTGCCTTTGGTCTAGAATCTAAAAGGATCAGTTAAGAGAAGGCATGATTTGAGTACAGAAGAAATAAAATACCTGTTGTAGATTATCTAGACCGGCGCCATCTCTGCCATATAGTGAACCTAGAGCGTCTTTCTCGAAGGCTAACTCCAAGGTAACGTTTCTCAAAGATACACCTTTACTTCTGCTTCCATAAAAAACTCATAAGAGATACCCCGTTTTTATTCCACGTGATTGTTAACAAAATAGATCCATTGTTGTTGACAAGAACATACCGTGGTGGTAAAGAAGAGATGTCTCCATTGCTAGAAAGTTGAAGCTGTTTCATTCCCTGTGTCAAGTCATTCTCCAGTGAACTTGGTGGACGCGTAAAGCCTTTGAGTTCATCCGCGTCTTTAAGGGCCTCGGTGTGCATCAGATAATCGATCGACTTCATTAATTCCGCACCGCTTCTGACCATCTTCACATCTTGTTCACCATCTGATACCGAGAGAGAATCACCTCTGCTTGCATTCTGCGGTTTTGTTGACACCATGGTTCTTAGACGGAAGCAACTAAAATCAAACTAACAGGGAAGAAAAACACACTTACTTGTTGTGATGGTTGCATATTGTAGTTATGGCTTGCTCCTGCACTTTCATATGGATTACTAACTCTAGCTCGCATTTCTTCTAAAACCTCCTTTGGCAATAGGCTCTCCCGTAATTTAGAAGAAACGGTAGTCAAGGCCTTTTGTACATGCCTATACTCTCCCTTAATCTAAAAACAATCATAGAGGCAAAGGAGTAAATCTTGCTTAATTGATTTGTATCTCGCAACTTTCTCGTCTCTAAGGAGAAAAAAGCTTATACTGAATAGAAGAAAACGCGTGTTCACTTACCTCTATCACCACTTCATTTTCCGAGGTATAGTCCAGAATCTGGTCACCTACTGGAATGTGTACATCAGCACCAGTTGCTATGATTGCTTCTCTGTTTCCAATCAAGCCATTAGCAAACTGCGATGGTACCACTAGCTTAGCCTTCACAACAGTACCATTGTGCAATCCAGAGAGAAGACCTTTCTCAACACCAATCTCAACAGATCTTGCATATACAAGAGCCAGAGCATTCTGTGCATGAGAGTACCGCGACTCGAGGTTCTAAAAAACAACCAAAGCGAATTAATTGCGATTGAATATATCAATAAAGAAACTCGAATTAAAAAATGTAGCAGAGAAGAAGGATAATGAAACCAACCTCACGTGCAGAAATGGTAACAACTCGTTGACCAGATACTTTTAATGGAGCTCCAATCGAAATAGAAGCACCTGTTTCATTCTGCAGAGCTCTGATAATAGTTCCTTGTTTCCCAATTATGCCTCCAGCTGCAAAACTTGTGCAGATTATTTTGAACACAACCTTTCTTTCAGTATCTTTAGAACCATGGAAACTGTTTCCTTCTTCATACAGTGATGGTAAATGCCGATTGGATGCTACTTGTGAAGCATTAGGCAACGAAGAACGCAGGTTCGGGAAAAACTCAGAATGCGGATCCTCTGAGTTTCCATTGGTCGATGATTCGTAAGCTTTGCAGCAAAGTGGCGGTGGATACCCGTTGTTCGGCGGACAGTTTTGAAGACAAGTCGATACCATAACTAGTGCCTTCTTCACAGCCAATACATCGCCAGTAATCTAAGAAGATATACATTACAAACCACAAAACAAGAACAGAACTTTTAGTAGATCAATCACATTATCATAAATCAAAGAGCAAAAACTCAGAAAGCATTTCAAAATTCCAAAAAAGGAAGAACAATAAATGGAGAAACCTCAAAAAAGGCATCAACTTTTGTTTTGTCATTACACAAACTTACCTGAATCAATTCATCATTATTAGTACCACAAGTCGGCGGAGGCAAAACCCTAATCATGGCACCAGAATTCTTCCGCATCCATTCCACATGCTTCCCACCCAAACCCAAAACAGCTCCAATCTGATTCCGATCAGCGAGAATCCCACAATAAGCTTCTTCATCATCACCGGCGACGATTCCGCCGCTATCTTTCGCCGCTAAAACCACCCATGATCTCTCCAAAACCCTAATCAACGCCGTCTGAGCAGCGGAAACCTCACAAGTCACCCAATCTTCGTGTTCCCCACCGGAGAAATCTCCGACTCTATCAGTCAACAGAACGCTTTTGTTAACGGCGGTTGACCCGACGATGAATACGACCCAGTGGTCGGACCCGTTCACCGGAGACTCGCAGTGGATTTTAGTACCGGTCTCACGCCGGAGCTTGGAAACAACGTAGCCGTTTGCTCCGATTATGCCACCGATAACTGACGCGTGGCAGACAACTCGTAAAGCAACCTCGTCCGGTAAAACGTGAATCACCGGACGGCGTTGCTGCAACCGTCGATTCGGATTCGATACTACGGTGGTTACTCCACGGTGGTTACTCATGGCGGAGCGATTTAGCGAAACGCCTCTTCGTTTCTCTCTGTGAAGGAAGCGGGAACGGCAAACGGAAAGACCAGTAGGAAAGACTTAAAAAAGTGAATAAAACAAAAAAATTCACGATTTTGAAGAGAAGGCGTGAATCTCTCAAATCACCACGATTTTCGCATAGATTTGTATAACTGCGTTTCTAGAAAGGGAAAGTTTTGATAGGATTGAATCAAATATTATTAAATTCGCATAATTTGTTTTGTTAAAACGTTTCTTGCGACCATTACGATTCAGCGATTTAAACGCTAACGCTAAATGTTTGTCAGCAATCAGCATAGAGAATAGAAAATGCCGCCGTCATTTAGATACTCCAATATTTACGCATTAATTAAAATAAATCTGATTGAGTTAAAAATATTATATTTGAGATAAAGGCAACAATATTATGGAAATAAAAACATGGAAATGAACAAACGATGTTTTCG